ACTTACCATCACAATTGAGTTTTCTGTTGCTAAGCAAAGCAGTTGTTAAGTGACTTTGGCTCATTTTACAATCTTTCTTGCCACAGCTAAGTGAATCAAGGCAGTTGTTATATTAACAACACGGTTGTTAAGTGAATCTACCTTCCCCATTGACTTGGCTTGTCAGAAGGTCGCAAAAGGTGATCACATGACCCTGGGATACTGCAACCATCATAAATACACGCCAGTTGCCAAGCAAGCGAATTTTGATCACTTGACCATGGAGGTGTTGCAATAATTGTGTGAAAAGTAGTCATAAGTTACTTTTTTCAGTGCCATTGTAACTTCAAATGGTCACTAAACGAATGTAAATCAAGAACTACCTGTACTGCTAAACATATGTGACGCATTTGTTCTCCATAGTGAGGGGAGGAGTATCCAGGATGGGTTGATCTTGTCCTCTCGTTGATTGGACTGAGTCAGATAAGCTCTTTAGGACACACCCTGGTCACCAGGTACTGCCCAGTTATCGCCTCAGTCCCTCAACTGGACGGTTTGCCATCCTGGATCCTGGAATATTGAGAAAAACATATAAAGCTGAACAGAAAAATAGGAATTGCCTTCCTGCCGCCAAGATCAGCCTCCTCTAGATTGGATAACTTCCTAGTGGGGTAAGGAGGACTGCCACAAGCCCTCAGGGGTGGCATGCTGCCCAGGCCACTGAGTGAGACCAGGGACACTCAGTGAGGACCTGCCAGGCAAGCCAGAAATGCAAAGGCACAAGCCTTATTAAGGCAAGCCTTGCTGCGGAGGCTCTACAGGCACTGGAGCATTTTGCCGCTTCCCGCAGGGGTCGAATGGCGAACCACAGCTTTTCCAAGCCCCGCGGAGCGCCCGCACTGCTCCCACATTGTCCGACTCATCGGAGAGACCACAAGCAAGAGCCCGGCTACAGCGGCATCTGAAGGAGGCAGGAGGCAAGAAAGACCGGCGGCAAGGGCACGCAGCAGCTCCTCGGAGCACAAGCCACTTGAAAAAGCACTTTTAAAGGCAGTGCCCTTTTTTTGGCATGCGGTGCCATTTTGAAGCCGGGAGGAAGCACGTGACCCAAGATGGCGGCGCCCAGCAGCTCCAAGAAAGCCGGCAGGACCCAGGTAGCTGCATCAATGGCCAGCAGCCCCATTGGAGGGGCAGAGGATCACCCATCCAGGTTAGTGGCCACTCCAGAGGCTGCCCAGAAAGTGGGGGAGCAAAGGCTAGAGCCAAGAAGAAGCACCTTTCCCCCAGGGCAGAGTTAGAGACAGAGAGTGGCCCCAAGCCTTCCAAACCTTCTTTTAAGTATGAGAAGCCCAGGCCCGGGAACAGAGGGGAAGGCTCCAGGGATTTCTTCAACCAGCGGGGCCACAGAGGAGGACCCTGCCTTGCAGGCAAGGATCCCTATTGACATTTCAGGCCTTTGGGGCTCTGCTCAGGAGTGGCAATTCCCCCCGCCCGCACTGCATCACTGGGTACAGCCCTGCCCAAGGGACTACCACCTCTGGGATTTCCCCCTGCACAGGTGGGCATAAGCACCAGCCAGCAACCCCCCTCAGGGGTACCCAACTTTCAGAACCTGATGATGTGTGCCTTCCAGCAGTGCATGGCAGTGGCATTCCAGCAGCCACAGATGCAGCTACAGGTGGCATCTCCTCCTAGGGTTCCAGAGGGCCTGGAAACCCATGGGGAGGACTGTCCCAACTTCCCAGCCTCATCCCAAGAGGACAGTGACCTGGAATGCGAGGAGGGCGAGATTAAAGAGGATAAGCTATCTGAAGACGAAGGCATGCCACCTCCTAAACCGGCCTTTTCTGGGTTATTTCAGCCCTCCTTGTACAAGTCACTTCTCTTCAAGGCCAAGGCAGCCTCCAAGCTCGGTAACAGAGCAGCAGAAGCACCGCCTCAACGCCAGGGCTTCTCAGCAGAAACCATCTTCGATGAGCAGGCCATTGAGGCCGACATGGTACCAACTCCCAGGGTCTTCCTTGACCTGGTCAAGTGCCAATGGGCATCTCCCACTGCGAGACCCACGCCCACATCCACGGACAAGGCCTTCTTCAATGTGGGTCAGGACATGGCTCAGGTCCTGTCGCAACCCACCATCGATGCACCTGTCATGGCTCTGCATACCCCTACCAACATGCTAGGGGAACCAGAGGATGCTCTGAAGCTGGAGGACAAGAAAGCGGACCTCACCCTGCAAAGGAGTCTTCAAGTGGCTGCCTGGGCGGTGAAGGCAGCCACCACCGCCTCCTTCTTCAATTGGTCTTCTCTGCTTTGGCTACAGGAGCTGCAGCAGCGAATTCCCATAACTGATGTCAAAGTGGACCAGGACATCAACAAACTGGTGGCATCCATCCAATTTTCATCAGACACCACCTTGACCGCAGCCAGGTTTGCCTCCAGGGTGATCTCCTCATCCATAGCATCTCATAGGCTGCTGTGGCTGCAACAGTGGCAGGCGGACGTACACCACAAGTGGCGCCCGGCATCAGCCCCCTTCACGGGGGACTCCCTTTTTGGAGCAGCTCTGGACCTCTACCTGGTCGAGAACAAGGACAAGCGGAAGGTGCTCCCACCGCTCCGAAGAAGGGCAACTTCAGGGCGGCTCCATAGCCCAGATGTTCCTATTCCCAGGGACAAGACTTTGAGCCCTCCTTCCAGGGTCAGGATTCCTTCTGGGGGTCAGATGCGGGTTACTCAGGTCACAGGCAGTACCAGGGAGGATTCTCTGCCAGGCAGAGATACCCAGATAGGCAGCAGAGAGGCAGGCAGCAGAAGCGGCCCTTTCGAGGGGGCGGAGGAGGCAGCGGGGGGGTGCTCCTTCCACAAAAACTAGAGCTAGATCTACCTCGCCCCCCATTGTGGGACGTTTGGCGTACTTCGCTGACCGCTGGGACCAATCCTCCTCTGATAAGTGGTTACAGAACACCATTAGACATGGCTTTTCACTTGATTTTCTTTCCAGCCCCCCAAGCTTTATCCAGGTCCCAAATAACCCGACCCAGAGATTGCTGATCACCTGTTGGACATCCGGGCTATCACACTAGTGCCTCTAGATCAGCAGGGTCAGAGGTATTACTCTATCCTCTTTGTAATCCCCAAGGCCTCGGGTGGCTGGATGGTGATTCTTGACCTGAAATGCCTGAACCATTTCATTCGCTATAGGAGGTTTAAAATGCACTCACTCCACTCCATCTTGGAGGGGGTTAGGCAGGGAGACTTCTCACTTCTATAGACCTCACAGAGGCCTACCTGCACATACCCATTACTCAGGTTCTGCTACCTAGGGCACCACTTCCAATACCGGGCCTTGCCTTTTAGGTTGTCTTCCTCCCCTGAGTTTTCACCAAGATAATGGCTGTCCTGGCCGTATACCTGA